AACCAGGTGGTTTCTTCTTGGATACCGACTCCAGCTTTGGAACTCATAGTTTGGAACTGAAGGAGGGGTTGCTGCTTTTTATTTCTCCACGTTGCAAAAGAGAAGCCATGCATAGCGAGAAAGTATCAAAAAGTTGTCAATTCTAATGTAATGACAGACCATGTCAATCCGACAGGCGTTTCGTGGATTTAGCACAGTGTCACATAAGCACCCATAAAATCTGACACCTTCCCGCAACTCGAACCGCGCCTCTGATCTGCTCGTCTGAGGATTGCATCTGGCAATTCTTCCACTGTCGTTTCCATGGCATCCAGGACAAGTTGCAATGGCAACGCGGTGCTGAAGCAAAAAAATGCAGGCACACCAGGGCGGCAGAAGGCCGAATAGGCAACCCAGCCGACTCTGATTCCGTGAAGCCGCGATCAAAAGAAGGAAAACGAAAACCGGGAAATTAATTGGGAAAACAATTGTCAATTCAACACTCTGCATAGCAATTGGTGTCAGCTCCCTACGTATCTGCTTATATAATCAGCTCTGGGTGCATCCAACCTGAATTCACAAAACAAACGCATGACAGCGTATTGCTTGTACTTCAAGGGAGGTAAGCTAACCGTTCCAGTGTGACAGATTTCGAGGTGTCGAGGTGAACATCCAAAGTCTGAAGGGCATCCATCAAACTTTAGAGTCACTGCTTACTCAATGTCTATATTAGTCTATATTACTTACTATATCACCTGACATAGAAAAGACGTTGACACAGGGCCACCACATGAATCAGAGAACTGCGGTCGTCAACTGATCACACTCTCGAACCTGCAACAGTCAAACACGCGCCGCTCTTTTAGCAGCAGCCAGTTGAGTTACCGTGACTTTCATCAAACATGTCTCAGACATGTGTCAGCTAGACTGATCGAATCCTATGGCTACAAAAACCGTTGAATGGAATGAAAAACATTGAATTTGATTTTCTCTCTCTCTCTTTCTTTATCCCAGAATTCAGCTTTTGTCTGACGTGTCTGACACTTACCTGAAAAACTCAAGCGACTCAAGCACCCTGCCATTGACATGCGAACCACATGGTCGTTCTGTGAGCAGCCTGGCGGCGGAAAAGTCGGGAGATGCTGGGTTGCTGGACCCTTCGAAGTGAGACCCTCAATAGGCCATTGGGATTCCTTGCAGCTCATACAAAGGGAAATGGGGCGCCAATTTTTGTGCTTCCATTAGACCCGGTACTCGACTAGAATCTTTCACATGAGGCTATGGCGGCTATTGAGGCTGTCCGTGCACAGTCCCTTATCACCAGCTCGAGGTTTTGTTCGGAAGCATTCTATACTTGTAATCAAACAAATTGGTACAAGACCAGAGTAGTCTGTGATACTCGGCAGGCGAACGGCTTTGCCAATTGCCCACTTCGAGTAGCCGCCCGAATTCCTTTACATTCACTTGCGCCTACGCAAGCCAAGCAGACACATCTCTTTCGGTGTAAGCAAAGCCCTTCCTCTCCAGCCATGCCACCTCGGCCTTCTGGGAATTTCCAAGGCCTTCGGATGCCTGAAGGAGCTTGCGATCCTCCTCGGAGAGCGAAGCCAAGAAGAGCCGATGAACCTCCCTTGAATACTGAGAAGAACCGTCTGAACGAGGCTCTTTCCAAAGGCATTCAATGCCACGATCAATGGCTTGAAACTCTGAAGACTTCAGGAACTGTTTCAACTTGCCTTGAATGGCTTCTCGCCTCAGGTGCTCTTTGCCAGCCATCGAGAAATTCTCAACTTTGCCTTTTCCCACCATCCCTGCAAAGAAATAGACTTCCAATTCGGCACCTTGTCGAACAGCTTCCTCGATGTTGTTCATCCACTTGGTCCACCAGCGGCACCCCCAGCGCTTCTGCTCCCCATAGACGGGAATGCACCAGCAGCTGCCCTCAAGGTTTTCCTCCTCTGGGATTGGGTCATGGCAGCCGAAATGTTCAGAGCCTTCTGGCAGAAAGACCACAGCGGCGCTGACATTGCCTTTGCGGCTTCCTGTGACCAGGACATCCCAAGCAGATTCGTACTTCCCAGGCCATGAGGAAACACATGGGCCCTTACCCTCAAGGATGGAGCCGTGGAAGACAATGGTGCGTTCGGCAACGCTTTGCTTGTCATCATCCTCTTCACGCTTGATGTTTTCCTCCAGGGATGTACGAGAAAAGTAGAGGCCCATCAAGCCGGAAATGCAACAACACGGCAGCCCAGCAGACAGCCCTGCCCACCAGTATCCTGCAAATATGTAACGAGCAATGGCAGCAGCCGCTCCAAGCGCTGCCAGGAAGAAGAATGCAGAGCCAGCATGAAAGGCAAGCCACTTCAAAAGACCACTGTTGAAGCGCGCACCAAAAATCTGAAAATTGCTACCACAAAGCCCCAAACAGCAAAGCAGCACGACCACTGCCGAGCTCAGGCCCACAGAAGAGACCGGACCCTGAGGCTCAACAACGATGCAAAGTGCGAGAAGTCCGATGCCGAGCAACGTGCACAAAACAATGAATGGAAAGTACCAAAGGACGTGCTCACGTCTTTCTATTGCAAGTTCCTTTTCCATCTGCTTCTTTCGGTCAAGCAGCAGGCACCGCTCCCTTTGAACCTGCTTCTTCTCGTTTTCCAGGAAATGCCTGGCTTCAACACCGAAATACCCAAAGGACTTCGATGCATGCAGTGTCAAGGCACCACTTACTTGACAGCTGCCAGAGATCTTGGGATTGTCGCGCAAACAAATCTGCATGACAGAGTCTCGAGTTACAGCGGTACGAAATTTGTGGTATCTTTTCGGGTAAAGAACCTTCGCCTCTTCAGCGAATTTAATTTCGAGTGCTGCTGGCAAGTCGTTTGCAACCACGACCGTGCAAACTTTGCCGCCAGGATCTACGGGCCCTTTCGATTTTTTTTAATCTTTAGCATCTGTAGCATCATGCACGAGGACACTGTGGACACTTCCAGGCAAGTTCACAGGCACTTCGAAGCTTGTAGGCCCTGTAGGCACTTCCAAGTTTCCTGTTTCTGGATGCACTTTCGTAGGCGATTCGGGCACTGAAGGGCACTCCCATGCCTCCTCGCTATGCATGGTTCCTAAAACCTACTCTGCTGTGAACCTACATATGACCGTGCAGAATAGTTGGGTGGTTCAAATCCTCAGGGGATCAGAGGTTTACTGCAAACTTGCAACCAGTTATAACAGTTATATAACATGTTATAACCAGTTCAACAATACTTTTGTGGACCTGATGCACGGGCTCACAAAGTCTCCTTAAGAGAACATGCTTGAGCCCCTGCAGAGTCAAGCGGCCAGCGGCCCGCAATGGCCCGCAAGAACCCACCTTGCCAAGACCGCTCAGTTCTCAAGAAGCCACCAAATTCACCAAGCAGAGGTGGAACTTTGGAACACGTTGAAGGTACAGGTGAAAAGCATGAAAAGCATGTGAAACATGTTCCATGGGGAAACGTCCTGTGAATTCCCTCCTACAACAAGAACACCAACAAATTACGGTCAACATCTATAACTATAACGTCTGATGTCATCTGATGTCTATATAATGTTTACCGGAAATGAGACCACTTGCGAGTCTAAGGCGCAGAACTCATTCAACTTCACGCATCTGAAGGGTTTGAGCTGAATTTCCCCAAACAAAACTCATCAAAAACTCAAATTTTCTCCAATCTTCTCGAACATATGTCCGATTCTGATAATCCATCGATATCCGATGCATCTGATGCACTTCTTGGTGCGGCTTTCAGCTTCTCAGGGCGCGCCTTGCGCACCAACGATGAGATTGTACTGCTTCCCATGTACCGCATAGCAATGACAAATTCCATGAAGTTATCTTTTTCTATCAGTGATATAAATGAGATGTATATACTGTGCACGGTAGACACAACCTCATTGTATGTAGGGCTGGAAATCTGTTGGTGGCATGTGTGTATGTCTATGTGACGAAGCATATCTACAGGTGGCAAGTGCGTAAAGTTGCCGCAGAGATTGCAAATCTATTGTAATTCAATCAAATCCTGGCCCACTGTCGGCAAACATCTGAGGGTATAGCTTTATGGTCCAAATGTCTCGAGTCATAAGCAAGCAGAATTCATGGCTGAATTGCACTACAATTACCACATGATACATCATGATACCATGGATTCATTGCTACTGTTGATTGTCTGTATATGTCCAAACTGCTCTTGCCTTTACCATGCTTAAACCATCTGCACCACATTGGCAGGGTACCTTACAGGCATTAAGTGCGGTTGCCAAGCAAAGGGGTCAAAAAGTGCCTCGATGTGCTGTTAATCGCAACACTTTGCGATCTCTATCCTGGATTCTGCTTCCTTACTGCTAGGTCAACATGGAGGCGTATTGCAACGGAGCGCTGAAGCAAAAAAATACGCAGGCACACCAGGAAGAGGGCAGGGAGTCCAATAGGTGGCCAGCAAATGAAATGGAAGTAAGTGAAGAGATAGTTCGATGTCATAGGTGCTCAAAACCCAACACCTTACTCTGATTCCATTAAGTAGCAAATAAAAATGAAAAACAGAGGCCGTGAAAAAACCAGTCGAAGCGTGACTCTGTGAAGCAATTAGCGTCAAAATTCAGTTCCTTGCATATCTGATTGACCGGCTGATCTTGGTTCTTGCATGATGTTTGATTGATGTCATAAGTTTGGAACAAGCCATGCTGAAGGTTTGAGGGCGCATGCAAATTGAATCCACAATGCAAATGCATAAAACCCAAAAGAACTTAGACTTAGACCATTTGGCCCCAAAACGACGCAAGATCGGGGCACTGCTTCGTACTTCAAAAAAGGAACGCCTATATCCTGTTTTCAAACTGCGTATGGATCTGCAGCACCCCCTCACTCAAGATCTACGAAATGCAGATTGAGACCGGTCCCCATGTTATCATGGGAAATCATACAGCTTCACCCATGTCCCATGTAATGATGTCTTCAGCTTCCTCTCGGACTGCTGCACTTCTTTTGCGGCCAGCTGCCTTCACTATCAATGCGTATCCATGGGGTGAATATATCACTTAGATCGTCTTAGATCCAAAGAATCCCTTGGTCAGAAGCTGTTGAATGGAATGTAGAACATCAAACATCGTCTCTCGAGTCCACACTTCCTTTTTAGTTGGCCAGTTGCCACTTGAGTCACTCAAACTCTTTGCTGGGGCCAATTCCTTTTGACAAGCAGACCAAACAGCCATGAAGAGCCCATGGCGCTCAACAAAAGTCCGGACGAGCCGTTCGCCTTGGTCCAGCCAAAGGCGCAGCCGATCCGACAAGAGAGGCCGGCGCAGCCTCAAACCATGGCGCCTGGAGGAGGCTGCAATCCTGCACAACTCAAATGGCTCACATGGCTCGGCTCAAACACGTCAGAAACATTCCTTGTGAATCCACTCTCTTACGGTACTTACGCCATCTTACGCCTATCTTTATGATACTCAAAAAATGTCAAAAATGCAAAGCATCGCAGTGCCGCCCAGAATCTTTAAGCATTTCGCAGGTATTGCCTTGCCATCATCACCAAGTGCCGCACACTCTCCAAAGCTCTTCTGGTAACAACTGCGTGGGTCTAGCAGGCCCTCTGAACACGAAGCCGTCCAATTCACCAAGCGATGGAAAGCTGGCGATTCCGCCTTTGTTTGCTGGCTGAGTTCAAAACGGACATGATGAAAAATGCTGGCAGCTGCACCTAGGAGATTGCAAGCGTCAGTGTCCATCAGCAAATGCTGGGTCGATTGTCGTATTCCTTCGAAGTCCCAGGGTCGTTTTTGGACCAAGGAGACCTTAGTGCCCTCCACCAGTAAGTT